ATTTTTCCTAATGACTGTGAAGACTCATTAAACATATATTTTTTACATCTTTAAAATTATACACAGTTACTTTTATTTCTGGCAACATGGTAGACACTTCATATCCAGGAAAAAAAAAAGGCCCTATAAAGAGCACTTATTAATGCTGGATAAAGCAAAGCAAACAACAAACATCTGAACTTCTTATAAAAAAGTAATGGTAACCCTCAGGATTCAGTGAGCAAAAATGGAGCCAAAAGTGAGTGATAAGTTCAAGTTGAGGATACAGCACCTGAAGGGTGTTTGCCAGTGTTGGTGTTCTCAAGACTTGGTTTTTCATGGTGTCAGGGCAAACATGACCCACTATATGTTCAGATTATAGGGCAAGATGGAATCCCATACCACTGAAATGCTTGGACTCTAGAAAGGCTATGCTCAAAATAAATTTGGGGACTAGACATAATCTACCTTTGGTAAAGTCTGGTGCTTGAGACATTTAACTTTTGGAGTAATTGCTGGCTAGGGAAAGCTTTCTTCTTAGAGTTTGTAACCTCAATCCTTCCCTCAAATGTAGAGTTCAGACTTACAATATCTGCCTCACCAGAAAACCCTAAGGCAATAAATCAACTTAAAACAGTCTTTGATTGATAGCATCCCAGAGTGCCTGGCAGAAGCAAACACAAATTCTGTCTGGAGGGACTTACCCTCAACCTAGGGGTCACAGGATTTTAACAGATAAAGACCACCAAACGTGTGCTCATGGTTTCAAATCCCAGAGACGCCCAAGGAAACGAAAGCCACAAGCAGGAGACAGGAGAAACCACAGAAAGCAGAACCAGACTTCTAAAAATCTTTCTTAAGATAATGCTTTGTCGGATAAAATAAATTACCTAAATGCCCAGAATATTTTTAAATAGGCATAAATAACAAGAGTTGCTTATGAGAAAAAATTTGATTGAATCAAAAAATAAATGGAATTGGGAAATAAGCACATAAAACTTCTAGAAGTTAAAAATATGATTACAAAACTGAAAAGCCTTAGGTCCCATTAAACAGCAAGCTGAAAAAAGAATTGATCAACTGATTATTAAAATCAATTGATTTTGAGAAATTAGACTACAACACAAAGAGATGGAAGTGGTAAAGAGAGATTAAGAAATACAAAGAGTAAAACGAGTCTCTTATATATATCTCATTGGATTTGTAGACTTGTGTTCAACAAGAAATGAGAAAAGTAGTCATTTTTACTCAAAAATAATTTGCCACCAACAGATCCTTGGAAAATCAGATACATAAAAAAAGCTTGAAAACTTAAGAAATTGTTAACATGTGTAAAGCTAAATCACATTGATTATATAAAAATAATAATGATTCCATATCAGGTATTACAATGGACTGACTATTTGTATTCTCCCCAAATTCATATGTTGAAATTCTAGCCATCAGTGTGATGATATTGGAGGTGGGACCTTTGGGAGCTGATAAGGTCATGAGGGTATAGCTGTCATGAATGGGATTAGTGCCCTTATAAGGAGCTGAAGAGGCCAGAGTATTTTCCTTCCACCATGTGAGGACAGGCAATTTGCAGCCCAGAAAAAGGCCCTCACGTGAACCTGGCTACGCTGACACCCTGATCTTAAACTTCCAGCCTCCAGAATGGTGAGAAATAAATGTCTGTTGTTTATAGCCACCCGGTCTATGGTGTTTTGTTATGGCAGCTCAAACTAAGACCAGCATTAAAAATCAAGATATAAATAAAATACTGCTACACACTAATGTGTAAGAGGATCATTCTATAGGACATGTATTAGTAAGAGAGAAAGCATATGGATAAACTTTAGTTTTAAATATACAAAATGAAATATTTTAAGCATAACCATTTAAAGGATAGAAAGAGATAGTAACTTTTAAAGTAATACCAGGGGAAAGGATCGATCTAAAACATGTAAGAAAATATATTGGAAAAACTTGAAAAAAGGATAATAGTAGTGCATAAAATAAATATTGGAAATACATTTAAGTATGTCAGTAATCACAAATTTGTAAAGAGGCAAAACTTACCATCTTAGGAAAAAAGTAATCTTTGGATCACAAAACATTTGGGTTAAAAAAATCTAGTCATATACTCTTTATAAAAGTCACTCCCCGTACATAAGGATATAGGCTGTTTGAAAGCAAAAAGATGGATATAGCAGGCCAATACTAATTTTAAAAAGCTTTTATAGCTATATTGTAGTCACATTAGTTTCAAGATAAAAAAGAATTATTACAGATAGAGACGGTCCTGTCAAGATGATAAAAGGTTCTATTTTCCGATAACATAGTTTTAAATTTATATATACTTACGTACCTAATGAAAGTCTTAAAACATCTAAAATAAACTGATCGAATCACAAGAATACACTGATTATTGGAATATAAAATGGTTTATTAACTTGGTGTATTAACTTTGCAGAGCTGTTTGTTCATTTGTAGAAAAGTTGAAGATGCAGTCCCACTTCTAGGCACACATCCCCTAGAGAGCTGCTTTCACCTACATTCAAGTGTACAAGATTTTTCAGAGCAACATTATTTATAAGAGTAAACAACTAGGAATAACTTAGCTGGCCATCATTGGAGAATGTATATAAATAAACTGTGGTATACAGCTATTGAATGCAATATGGCACAACACTGAAAGTTAGTAAATATGAGCTACATGTGTTCACAAAAATGAAAGCGAGGACTAGAAGCCTGTGAAGCTAATGTTGAGCAATGATAAAGTACATCCCAACAGAACACAGAAAAACGGGATACACTGTGATACTATTTACATACTTAAAATGGCAAAATTATACTCTATCCTAAGATTCCACCCATACATATGTAGTAACAACGTAGAGAAAGGCATGGGAATGGTACCTAGCATATCTGAGAGAGCCATCATCCCTGAGGAGATGGGAGGGTGCCGCAGGTGGTGGGGAAGAAGGCAATCGAGAGCTGCACCTGTATTGAGAAGGTTGGCTTTCTTAGGTTAGTTGGTGACACATGTATGTCTGTCTGGTTCTTTACATACTGTTTTTTTTCAAATCTGCAAAAAAAATTATAGATATTTTGATACTAGGGAGAAAATATAAATACAACTTGTTAACAAGAAACATGCATATACTATCTCAATTCAAAAGTGTGGTCTTTTTTTTTTCTTTTTGAGAGGCTGTTTCACTCTTGTCACCCAGGCTGGAGTGCAATGGAGCGATCTCGGATCACTGCAACCTCCACTCCTGGGTTCAAACGATTATCCTGCCTCAGTCTCCCGAGTACCTAGGATTACAGGCGCCCACCACCATACACAGTTAATTTTTGTATTTTTAGTCGAGACGGGGTTTCACCATATTGGCCACGTGGGTCTCAAACTCCTGACCTCAGGTGATCCATTCACCTCAGCTTCCCAAAGTGCTGGGATTACAGGCGTTAGCCATAGTGCCTAGCCCAAAAATGTTGATAGCAATATTTTGAAAATATATTTGATAAAAACCTCACTGCAAATTTACTTAAATTCGAACAAAACTTTTTAATGATGCACTAAGTAGTAACTTGCAAGCTGTTGGGATGGAATAACATTAATCAATTTATTTCACAATTAATCCAGGCTAAAAAGATGTTGATATGACTGAGTTCCTGGTATCAAAGATGGCTAGGGAATTTGAAATTTTTTTCTCTTTCTTTTGAGATACTTCTTTGCCTTAAGTTTACCTTATTGTTTTATATTAAAAATGACTCATTAAAAACGTAATTTAGATTTTATAAAAGAACATCCTCCTGGGAAAAAGATGAGGTAATAGAAATGAAAATATATTAATTGTCCAGGCATGGTGGCTCATGCCTGTAATCCCAGAACTTTGGGAGGCCAAAGCAGGTGGATCACGTGAGGTCAGGAGTTTGGACCAGCCTGGTCAACATGGTGAAACCCCATCTCTACTAAAAATACAAAAAAAAAAAAAAAATCGCTGGGCATGGCAGCAGACACCTGGAATCCTAGCTACTTGGGAGGCTAAGGCAGGAGAATTGCTTGAACCAGGGAGGCAGAAGTTGCAGTGAGCCGGGTTTGTGCCATTTCACTCCAGCCTGGATGACAGAAGGAGACTCCATCTCAAAGGAAAAAAAAGGAAAATACATAAATCATAGTTGATTTATTTTTAAAGTTACCCCTCAAAATGTAGGAAATTTAGTTCTAAAGTTTTTATTTCTAGGAATTTCTCTTAGACAGTAAACAATTTGTACCATCTAGATCAAGGGTTCTCAAAGTTTCTTCATTCATGATGCCCTGAGGATCTCAGTAGACTTTTATGGTAACCATAGACCAAAAGAAATGGTCTAAGATTTTAAGCAGTTACGTCACAGCAACCACCCAGCATCCAGCATTGCAAAGACAGGACATCATTGGAAGAAATGTAGCACAATCCAATGTTGAAACATGGAACTGCCTTAAGCTAGTCATTTTCAGTGTCTAACAGATGTGGATTATTCCTATTTCCCCTGAAAATGTAAAATATCTCATAGCACCTGTATTAGTCTGTTATCACACCACTATGAATAAATACATGAGGCTGAGGAATTTGTAGAGGAAAGAGGTTTAATTGACACTCACTTCTGCATGGCTGGGGAGGCCTCAGGAAACTTACAGTCATGATGGAAGGGGAAACTAACTTCACATGGCAGCAGGAGAGGGAAGTGCAGAGCAGAGTGGGGAAAGCCCCTTATAAAACCATCAGATCTTGTGAGAACTCACTATCATAAGAACAGCCTGAGAGTAGCCACCCCCATGACTCAGTTACCTCCCACTGGGTCCCTCCCATGACATATGGGGATTTTGAGAACTACAATTCAAGATGAAATTTGGGTGGCACACAGCCAAATCATATCAGCATACCTGTGAATTTGCTGCCGTGTCCTGTAGACCCTATAACACACATCTGAATACAGAGGGCTCTGCATTCATTCATTCACTGGCATTTTTGGTGGTATCTTTTCATTGACTACAGGAGAAGCCGTACAAGTGCTCAGAGTGCAGCAAGGCCTTCAGCCAGAAGCGAGGCCTGGATGAGCACAAGAGGACGCACACTGGAGAAAAGCCTTTTCAGTGTGATGTGAGTTTGGATTCTTTTTTTTTTTTCTCCCATAGTGTCTTTCAATAATAGGAAGTAGGGGTGTGTATGTGTGTGTGTGTGTGTATGTGTGTTGTAGTGGTGGTATGTGCCTTTGCCTGTTAATGTCTCATGCTATTTATAGCTTTTTCTTTCACAATACATGTAACCACATTGTAATCATTTTATTCATCTTGGTTTGCTGGCAGCAAATAAATTCTGATTTTCTTTTAGGCATGCTTGTATCCTGCTTTAATACCATTGAGTTATTCTTCTAAGGTGAAAATGCATGACGATTTGAGGCAGCTCTTTACTGGATAATGATAATTAAACCAGAGATTCGGCTGGTCATACATATTATTTAATTAGTTAAAGCTAAACATGTACAAAATTTCAAAATGCATATAAACTCCTTTGTCTTAAATAGTGCTATTACTTAGTGTCTAGCTTTTCTGCTTACGACACTTGAATTGAAATGGAAATATTTGACATATCATGCATTATTTCTGAAAGGAATAAATACTATTGTTGTCAGTAAAATTAATCTGAACATTGATCAATTTAGAGGAAATAAAGCCAGTTTCTCAACCAACAGTGCCACTGTGCTTTTGTGCAGGACTGACAGTTGATAGAGAATGGACACAGATGTTAGGGAATCAATGTAAGAAAAAACATTAAAGCTGTACTTTGTGATATGGCACAGAGCAGAATCCTGTTTAAACATTGAGGGAAATTCCAGAACTTAGTTCCATCAGCATGTCCCAGTGGGTAAAGCATAGGGTAAGCAATCCGTATGAAGGGAAGCTCACAAACACAAGATGTTTTCCTTGTCCTTTCATGAAACTTCAGTGGTAAGGTTAAGGCAACCATGTATTCCCAGCAGGCATACTGATAAAAATACCTTTATTAACTGCACTTTTTAAAGAAAAGAAACAGTTGTAGAGAAAGAAACACACACATATAAAGGGCTATACTGAATAGAGCTACAGCCGTAGTTCAGTGATTTCAGTTAGTTTAATTAATTGCTGCTTTTATTGGAAGCATTTTCATAAAGGCAAAACCTACTTAGATGGTTTAATTGCACTGCCACACAGATAACTGATATGGCCCTGAAATTAAATACTAACTGCATATGGACATCTTTCTACCATCACATTTAACCCATCTTTTTGTCTATGCTGAATGCTTTTGTTGAATATTTCCTTAGGTAAATTGAACCATCATGTTACATTTTTTAAAGCTGTAATGTTACACTATGACTTTTTTCTATCTGCTTCTGTCCCATTTATTTCTATAAGGTGTTTAAAACTCCAAAGTCTTCATTGGCAGCCCATACTGATCTGTTGAGTAGAGATCCATATTTCTAAATGCCTCCTAAACATTCCTGAAATGCAGCCTGCTCAGTAGAGAACTGTCTGTCTTTGCTCCAAAATCTTGTCCTCCTAACCATTGTGGATAGAAGTCACCCTTTCCCATCCCACTTCAATCTGTCTCCCTCTTAAAGACCTCTCACATTCATTTATTCCTCTTAGTTTTCATTTCTACTTGTAACACATAGCTCAGACCTCCACTGTTTCATACTATATCCAGTCTCTAGTATGTGTGTTCTCTACCCTGTCACCCTACCAAGGTGATGCATTTTTTAAAATTAAGGTGAAATTTACATGATATAAAATTAACCATTTTAATATGAACAGTTTGGTGACAGTTAGTATACTGACTGTGTTTTAAAAGCAACACCTCTCTAACTCAAAAATATTTTCATTGCCACAAAATAAAACTCATACCCAATAAACATTTACTTCTCATTCCCCTCATCCCTTAGCAGCTACCAATCTGCTTTCACTTCTATAGACTTACCTATTCTAGATATTTCATATAAGTGAAATATACAACATGTGACCTTTCATGACTGGCTTCTTTTATTGAGCAAAATGTTCTTAAGGTTTATCCACACTGTCTCATGTATCAGTAGGCCATTCTTTTTTATGGCTGGATGATATTCCATTATATTTTTATATCACAATTTGTGTATCCATTTATCTGTTGACGGACACTTCTTTCTGCCTTATAACTACTGTGAACAGTGCTGTGGTGAACATGAGCATGTAAGTATTTGAGTACTTTTTAAAAATTATTTGGGATATATACCTAGGATGGAATTGCAGAGGCATATGTGATTCTGTTTAACTTTTTGGGGAACTGACATACTGTTTCCCACAGGAGTGACACCATTTTATATTTCCACCAGCAATGCACGAGGATTCCAATTTCTCCCCATTCTTGCCACACTTATTTTGTATTTAATTATTCATCTTGGTGGGTGTGAAGTATCTGACCATGGTTTTGATTTACATTCCCCAAAGGACTAATGATGTTGAGCATCTTTCCATATGCTTCCTGATCATTTCTATATCTCCTCCGAAGAAGTGTTTTTCCAAGTCCTTTGCCCATTTTAAAATAGTGTTGTCTTTTTGTTGTTGAGTTATAAGAGGTTTTAAATTTTGGATGTTAGGCTGTTATCAGATATATGATACGCAAATCTTTTCCCATTCTGTGGGTTTCCTTTTCACTTTTTTGATAATATCTTGGGATGCCTAGGCCTTTTAATGTCGATGAAATTCCCTTCATGCATTTTTTTCTTCTCTATTTGATCATGCTTTTGGTGTTATTCTAAGTATCCATTGCCAAATCCAAGGTTATGAAGATTTTGTTCATAACCTTGGTTTTATTTTGTTTTGTTTTTGTTGTTTGTTTATGTTTTTGTTTTGAGAGTCTTATAGTTTTAGCTCTTATATTTAGGTCTTTGATCGATTTTGATTTAATTTTTATGTATGGGATAAGGAAAGGGTCCATTCTCTGCATTTTTCAGTATTGAATATGGTAGGTTTTTCATAAATGCCCTTTTTTTTTAATCAAGAGAGGATGTTGGAGTTTTTCAGATTCCTTTGCAGCGTCAATTGAGATGATTATGGTTCTTTTCCCCTTTGTTGTGTTTGTATGATGTATTACTTTGATTAAGTGTTGGTCATGGTTTAGAATCCTTTTAAGATGCTCGGAGATTTAGTTAGTATTTTGCTTGTTTGTTTGTTTCAGGATTTTTGCATCTGGATTTATAAGAGATTTTGGTTTGTGGTTTTCTTTTTTCATAGCATCTTTGTTTGACTTTGGTATTAAGATAATGCTACACTTACAGAATGAGTTGGGGAATGATTCCTCCTCTTCTGTCTTTTTGAAAGACTTAGAGAATAATTGGTGTTTATTATTCTTTAAATGTTTGGTAGAATTTATCAGTGAAGCCACCTAATCCCGGTCTTTTCCTTGTTGGGATGCTTTTCATTTGATTTAGCCTCTTAATTGGTCTTCTAATTTTTTCAACTTTTTTCATGAGTCAGTTTTGGTAATTGCTGTGTGTTTCTAGAAATTTGTCCATTTCATTATGGTTACTCAGTTTGTTGGCAAATTAAGTAACTATGATGAAATAGACAAATATAGATAGATAGATAAATAGATAGACTGATACATTGATATATAGAGATAATCAGTTTTTTACAATTTTGCACAAATGACACATCAGTCTAGTTTAACCTATTAGGTACAGTCATTGCAGGCTGTGCAAATGGCCTAGCATACCTATAGTGATGACTGAAATCATTCTTTCTCCTGCCCAGGTCTCTCTTTTGAACCCTAGGCAGATATTTTCAACTGCCTATAGGACATCTCTCTTGTATTACAAACTGAAATCATGATCTCTCAGCTTTCTTAATCTCTCAACATGATCCTTTTAATTTCTCATGTTTCTGAGGACTGTACCATCCCCAAATAACCCAAACCACATGTATGAGCCTCATGTTGGACACCTCTTTTTCCCTAAGCCATGAATGATAGCCATTATCCTCGTTAAGGTCCTACTATGGGAAAGAAACAGAGATCCACAGTTTGCATATATTCTCTCTGATCTCTACTAAAACTTGGGAATATATAGCTGTTATCTGCATGTATATGAAGCAGTCAAGGTTCACTGAAGTTGAGTGCCATGCCTACAGTTCACGGCAAGCCAAGATTCTAGAGTTCAAGGTTGTAGTCAGCCAAGATTGTGCCACTGAACTTCAGCTTGGGTGAGAGAGTAAGGCTCTGTATCAAAAAAGAAAAAAAGATCCTAGGGTCCAAACCCAGGTCTTTCTAAGCAGCTTACCATGCAGCTTTCACTCACACTCAGTAATTCCTGCCTTTGCTTCTATCTGTTTTTCAAACATATCACCATCTCTAAATTCTAATTGTCACCTTCATTTCTCTAATTTTCTCATACCCTACATCCAATCCAGTAGCAAATTCAATTGGTTCTACATTAAAATAAGTTCAGGGTCTGAACACTTCTCATATCTCCACAGCTTCATCTCAGTCTCCTGGAATGTTGCTATACCTTCTTAGCTGCTCTCTCTCCTTCTGTCTTTGCTCCAACAGTCTCTCCTAAGCTTGCCATGCAGAGTAATCTTTGTAGAACCCAAGTCAGATTATATATTTGTAAAATGCATTTGCTCAAACCTTCCAATGACTGTGCATCTCATTTAGAGTGGAAAACAGTTTTATCATGATCTAACAGACCCCACATAACCTGCAGCCCTCACCCTCCCACCCTGCTCTCTTTGACTTCATCAGCACCCTCTACCTGATTCTGGTCACAGGCCCTCCTTACTGTTCTTTGGAAACATTGGGCTGACCCAGCATCTATATCTTGGCCTTTGCATTTGCTGTTGCCTCTGCCTATAACACCTTTCTCTTCAGGTGTCCTCATGGCTTGCTGGTGTGCTTCTTTCACATCTCTGCTCAAATTACCTTCTCTCTTATCTCCATTCCTTCCTTAGCTCTTATTTTATACTATTTGTCTTCATGGCACTTATATCCACCAAAAATTTGTTTGTTTATTTATTATAACCTCCATGAAAACAAGATTTTGTCTTTATTATTTATTGTTGCATCCTCAAGCCTAGAATGGTTGCATA